CCGTTGACTCAATTTTGACGTTTAACAGTACCTCCTACCGTGTAAGTGGAGATAAATGATCATTTATCATTAGCCTCTCATGTACGACTGGCTTTCTCCTGTTCACTAAAGGAAAGCAGAGCAAAGACTATGATCTGTGTGGGCCTTCCCGTGGATGTGCTCGTGTCTATCCTGGCAGCAAGTGGCTTTCTGGTTTAGAAATCTCTGTTTCTCGCCATCAGCTGCTCTGATGGGGAAATCTGTGGCACAACTCATCAAAAGCTCATTCCTGGCTGAGAGGAGCCTTTCCCTGGTTCTCCTGGTGTGGCAATGCTTTTGGTGAAGGTCTCTGCTTTGCAGCGAAGGACCAGGACTGCTGGTGGTGGCTGTCGATGGTCACTTCTGGGGCATTGCTGTGAGATGTAATAGTGCTTTGTGTCTGTAGGGACTGGGGCAAAGTCTCAGTTCTCCGAGGAGCTCGTGTGCACACAGAAACATAGGGGGTCACAAATTCACAATTTCTCTTTTGCTTTACATACCATGCTAAACCTCTACCTCAAAAAGACCTTCATAAGTCAGGCAGATCATCCCTGAAGAAGCCACGCCTCTGTTCCACTAGGTAAATAACAGCTCGGTGCCTTATCCTAAGCGTATCAGCTCATGCAGGTAAATGTTTATGTCTGTGGCCATGTCTTTCCTGCTGCTTGTTCTTCCCTCCCTGCTCATTAGTCATGCTAGAGCTTCGTCATTGCTGCTCTGTAGCCAAAAGCAGTTTCCAGCTGAGGGTTCCTCTGGGAAGGGGCTCTCACTCCCAGGGGGAGCGAGACTGGAAAATAGCCATGTTAATTTGTATTTGCCACCTCCTCCTTTTAAGCTTTACCTTTTCAATTACAAGTTGTACTGAAATCCATTTTCCAACATGGCAATTTCTCCCGTGTCTCTCAAGGGATCTGGGCTAGGATGAGGTACGAGCACCGAGTTAGATAAGAACAGGGTGAGGAATGGCTGAAGCTGTTCTGCACTCGTACGGCCCTACTTACCTGATAACAAAACCACAAATAACTCTGTTATTTTTTTAGAGGAGAATAGAATAGAAACATAGTTCTTGTTGTATTTTTCCTCAGACGGGACATTTCTTAGAGCGATAACGTGCCTCTGTCCCTTGCCGAGAATGGCGATGCCGCGAGCAGTAGAGGGGCTCCAGCGAGCTGGCTGCGGCACGGGAAACCTTCGGTAAAGCAGAGACTGAACTATTCCTGTGCCGCTCTGCGTCAGACGGAGCCCTTCCTTGCTGCCGGACACAGACACATCCCTCTTTACCCTCCGCTCAGGAAGCCTTGTCTCTGAACCTTGCACAGGGTGGGATAATATAAACAAACGAGCTAATCTTTCCCCTGGGCAGAGGTGTCCTTTTGGTCTGTGCTGTCTTGGGAGAAGTCTTTAGGGGAACAGGCCTTACCTCCGTCCTTGCCAGGAATACCCAAGCGGCCTCTGGCCCTGGGGCATTTTCTGTGAGGTAAGGAATTACGTTGTTTCTACAGTTTCTTGTAAGTTAAAGGACATTTAAAGCGTAACATTTTGAATACTAGGGTTTTTTTTGAAGTAACTGGTATTTTCAAATTCATAAGAGAAAGCTCATTAAATCAATTAAGGTCAACTCTGTCCAACTGATACTTAAGTTTAGTAAGTCACAAAAAATTCTTGGGGAATTCAGTGTCATCTTCAGACAAACCAATATTCTTCTCAAGCAGATGCTTACAAAATGTCTGTAAAATCCTGATCCCTTCTACAAGTGTTTTATGTGAGCTGTCAGAGGACAGAGTAGGAAGTCATGCATAAAAGTATCTGTGAATCCTGTTAAACACATTATGAATGCCAGCTCAGCAAGAAGTGACATGAACTAAGATCTTTCTCAAGCTGTCAACAGATTTGCAGAAGGGTTAACTGATTATTGCTGATGTTTTCCATTAATGAGTCTGGTGTTCTACATAACATTATATATAAAAAAAATTTAAAATATATATATCATTATATAACATTCATGCATGCTATATAACTTCTTGGAATGGGCAGAAGTATCTTAACAGAAACTTTTCTGTCATGTAACAACTCCCAGCAGCGATAGATTCTGCATTGTAACTATTTCCTTTGTAACAACATAGACATATTTGCAAAAAGTCCAGTTCTTAAGTTTTCTTATGAAACTGTTTGACACAGAGTTTCTTGGGCACAATTCCAAGACTTAACTCAAGGTATAGAAAAGTGGTACCTCTACGCTCTCTGCTTTGGCGAGAATACATTTAGCCAAATCTCTAAGGAAGCTCCACTGCTGACTTGTACAATCCTATTTATTATTGAATAAGACGCGACCTATTTATTCACCCCAGCAGTGATCTGTATTTCCACCTTGGAGCTACAGCACAAAATAAATGGTGCAGTCTGACCTGTACAGGAGGCTGGTGAGGAAGAGGAAAAGTTGCAAAAACTTCTGGATGGCATTTATTCTTTCCACCTGCACCTTCTGGCAGCTTCCAGCCTTCCTTTCGAGTCAAAGAACTTGTGGGCAGTCAGGAATCTTTGCCTCAAGCTCTTAGTGAATCTGCTAAGCTAGGTAGTTTTGTGGAAAAACAGTGCATGTCCTCTGGGATATCAGAAACAACAGATGGTTTCCCAGGTATTTGGTAGAACTGCCTGGTTCCGGTGTAGATGTCGCATTTTGTGACTGATGCTTCCTTGAGATTTCACTTAGAAGAACTGATACGAAAATCCTAAATATATAGTAGCTGTTGTATTCCCAGATAACATGTTAGCAAAGTTTGATGATATAAATGGGTTCCTGAATACTTTGCTGCTGTGGTTCACCAATGGTGGTTGGGGGGGGGTTATTTAGGTTTTAAAAATAATTTTAAAATTCAGCTATTTTTTCAAGTTAAAAATTTAGTCTTTCCTCATATTTTATAGATTTTCTCAGCCTTAAATATGAAATATCTTATTACAGCTGTACAAAACTAAACTATATGACCAAAGGAAACAGAAGGTCGTCTTATGGCTTCTATTTAAGGTAAAGCATATGTCAGGGATCATGTTTATAGTACCTATGATGAAGCACAGATGTGAGAGTCCCAGTTTATCTTCTAAGAGCTAAGCTGCCCAGGAAGGATGGATTTTGTGGGAGATTGTTTTAAATGCAGTTTTTGAGTGAGTCTAGCATTTCTTAGAGCTCCTGGAGGTGAGAAGCTGTTTGCCTTAAGTACATTTAGACATGATCTAAAGAGGTGCTGTCAGCTCACATGGACAAAACCGAAATATTCATATCTGCAGCCGTGAACTTCAGCATTAACCAGCTTCGACAAGGGGCCGCTCTGTGCCGCTCTGCTGAGGGAGGCTGTGCAGACCCCGCGCAGCGGGAGCAGACCCGCGTCCCTTCCTGGGGGTGCTGCCGCGGACGGCCGTGTCCCGCCGTGCTGCGAGCTGTCGGCTGCTGGGACAGGGCCACCATCCCACACCTCCCACCCGGCACGGGCTCTGCTCCGGGGGAGCAGGGGGCTCAGCTCGGGGTTTGGGAACTGGCCCTGTGCTGCAGGAGGAGACGAGCAGCCGTGTCCTGCTGATCCCCATCCACACACGAAGCGCTCGCTTTCTAGTGACTACACCTGGTCCTGCCTCCCTTCAGTTAATTTTACAAGCGACTTGTTATACGCACTAAGAGTCATTTCAGCTGTGACTGCTTAGGCAATTCAGAAACACACTCTCAGGTAGTGAATTAAGTAGCTGCTCTGTTTCATGTGGTAATGCAAAACGTTTATGGTCCAAGCATACACATAAACAGAGGCGAGTAAGAGGTAATGGTTATTCTGTATAAACGTCTGGAGTGTTTGATTTTTTTTTTGCCTGTCTTTCTGTCCTGACTTGCACTTAGGTAATTTAAGGAGTATACCTTTACCAGTCACTACAAATAACAGAGCAGGCAATCAAGGAATTGTCCTTGAACTCATAGCAATCTGTGACTGAATCGTCCGTAGTCCTGACACTGCAGACTCAACTCCAGTGCAAAACCTGTCTTCATCTTCAGGGACTGGTATTCTTTGTGATTCTGAACTCTTGGAATTTTGGTTTGGGTGGGAATCTGGGAATTAATACACTGCAAGAAAGGAACTAAAAATAGCCAATGTTCTCTCTTTTTGAAATGCTGTGAATCATTTCACAGCCTAGATCATATATATCTATATATATATCTGTATGCATCTTCCTTTTTTCCTGATTCTTCAGCCATAGGTATGGAAGCTCTTTCCTCTCCAGGAAAAGATTGAAATGCTGAAATACATAGCATATGAGGTAAAGTGACTCAGAGAGTCAGAGAACATACACAGCTTCTGTGCTATTCAGAATAAGGAAGAATGTGTAGTACTTTCTGTACAGCCTCCTTCTATGTTTGGTTTCACTGCATCAGCAGCTTGTGGTTTGTTTTTTTTTTTTTGTATTGCTATTTACCTTTTATTCCCTATGGGCACATCTGGACAAGATGTGAGAGTTCATAGTACAACAACAGTCTGCTTCCAGGATCATGGTAGATAGATTTTTTTAATATAGTGTCTGAACACCTGTGGTATGAAGCAAAAAGGCAGTTTCTGCCGGTATAGCACTAGAGCTTGTTTCTATCATGCAATTCTTCTCGATTTCAGACGCAGCAGTTTGCCAATGCAACAAAGCAAACCAAGGATGATATTTTATAGCCAGACTAAGCATCACGGTATAAAACTTCATAGCTCTGGCCATCTGGAGACACCCATTTCTCCCCAGATGTGCCTGGTGCAGGAAGCGGTCCCGAATCTGTCAGGGGATGCTCACTTGGGTTTGACTCTTGCTTGCAGAACCAGCTAAGAGCTCTCCATTAGTCGTGATATAAGTCAGTTTGGACTATTTCTTCCCTTTAGTTATGGCTTTCTCACCATCTTTCTTTTCTTTTCTCCTTTCCCGTTCCTCCCCTCTCCCTGTCTCTGCTGCCTTCTCTCCCCCTGTAGAGCTCTCCGTCAGCCTCCTTGCAGTGATAGTTATTGTGTGTGGACTGGCCCTGGTGGCAGTTTTTCTGTTTCTGTTTTGGAAGCTGTGCTGGGTTCCCTGGAGGAACAAGGCCGTTTCTTCTAATCTGGCCGTCTTGCAGAGCGAGGCAGGCTGCAATAAGGAGAACATGGCAGACAAGCTCAAGGACACGGGTGCCATAAGCTTCCTGGAGGCAGCAGTGAAGATCAGCCACACATCCCCAGACATCCCCGCAGAGGTCCAGATGTCTATGAAAGACCACATCATGCGGCGCACGCGGATCCAGAGGCAAACAACGGAGCCTGCGTCTTCCAGCAGGTGAGTGGGATGCAGTGCTCCGCAGGGATGCTGCGCCTCGGGGCAGCTGGCAGGGCGGGAGGAGTGTTTAGTGGAGCCTGAGGTTTGGATACCTTCAGGGAGGCTAAAGAAAGCACTCCCACCTACATGCTGGATTACTTTCCAAAGATTGGTCATTAATCAATTAATGTGTTAAGACTGGCTTACTGTGAGCCCTTTTAAAAAAATCAAGGATTCAAGCCCTGTTACTGTTACTTGACCTCATTGTGTCAAGCCATCAGTATGCTTTGGCCACTTTAATTTTGTTTCAACATGAGAGGCAGGCTGAAGTATCGATGATGGTATGCTGTCAGACAGAATTAGACCTTTTTGCTCTCTCTTCTTGTTGTGGCTCCTAGCAGAAACAACTAGATAAGCAGAATTGACGTATCGCTCACTGCACAAGCTTAGAACCAGCTGTGCTCAGTGCTTGTGCTCAGTGCGTGTCTCTGTCTCAGCCAGGGACAGAGATGTCAACATCATACTCAATAAATCAGGAAAGGCTGTATGAACCTTGGGACACCTTCTTGGCAAGAATACTGAGAAATACGGTACCTCTTCCTTGACACAGAAGGCCGTGAAACTGGGACAGGAAAGGGTGATCGCAGGGTCCTGGCTGTGCCCCAGCACTTCTACTTGCTTTGTTGGCCATGCTCATGATGTGTGCGAGAGTGCAACTGCGAAAGCAGACATTGCTCAGAAAATTGGCTGCAATATTGCAGAATTAATAAGGCACTGATCACAGCCTTCTGTTTGAAGAAGCTGGAGTTAAAATCAACACGGTGCCACCTGCAGTTGTGCCACATACTCTTTTATTTATCTGCACTGTTCTTTGGACAGCTCATTACCTCTCTGTCATGCACACGCTCATTCTGCTTTTATTACACCTTTCCAATGGAGGAGAAAACAAAAGCTTAACCTGTCTGAATTAGGACAAACAAAGTGGGACTTGGTTGTATGTGGGAAAGTTTCAAACCCACTTTCTCAAGCAAAAGAGCCCAGCATGAACCACAGGCAGGCAGCCAGACCCAGGGACACTGGGGAACAACCTCAGCAGTCTGGGATCTCTGACTCACAGCCCAGCCTAGCCAAGGCCAAAATGCCTTTGAGGAACCTGCCGAGGAGACGTGAGGTCTCCAAGCACCACGTATCACCGAAAGCTAATGCTCTGGCTGTACGAGTTCTTAGTGTGGTTAAATATCTCCATACACTGCTCTTGTAAACACCAGATAATCTGAAATAACGCTGTGAGTCCACAGCAAGCTTCTATGCTTTGCTTAGATAAAGCTTTGCTTACAACAGTTTTCCTTGTGCTGAAGGGGAGCTGAAGGCAAGAGACAGCTTCCAGAGGCTGTGCATTCCTCCCTGTCAAGAATTATCTATCAGTTTCTAATGAGAGTCTGTTGGAGAAGTTTGGAAGCAGCAATACCCAGGATAAAACCTAACTTTCTGAGCTGGTCGTGGTTCTCTCACTTTAGAAGTTTTTTTTGCCTGAGGGAAACTTAGTGCCAGTATCTTGGAAATGTAAGGACTGAGGGTGGAAAAGAGTCTCCACACTGGGTTGTCTGTGGCTTGGTTAAGGAGTTGTTGGGTCTCATATATATAGCTGTGGGCTGTCAATTACGTAACAGGTGAAAAAATGCAGCTTGCTGCAAATACTCTGAAAGTTAGGAAATTTGCTGGATCAGTTCCTTTGACCACTGGAGGTGTTCCCTTCAGTGTTCATTTCCATAACGAAAGTGGTTTCTGTACAGAGGTGAGGAGCACCTATTGCACTCGTTCTTGTGCTCTCCCTGCTTTCCTAGCCTTAGTAGTCCAGCAGAGAAAAAGGAGAGAAATGTCCTTGGAAAACCATACAGCTGTCGTGTCTTCCTCCTGCAGGCACATCTCCTTCAAAAGGCACCTTCCTCGGCAAATGCATGTATCCAGCATGGACTATGGCATGGACCCACCGGCTGTGGCTGAGCAGCCGACCAGCATCGGTCGCATTAAGCCCGAACTCTATAAGCAAAAATCTGTTGACTCTGAGGACTCCAAAAAAGAGGCAGCAAAAACCTGTGGGAAAATTAACTTCACTCTCAAGTATGACTACGAGAATGAGACGCTGACTGTCCGAATTCTCAGGGCTTTTGACTTGCCAGCCAAAGACTTCTGTGGCAGCTCAGATCCCTATGTGAAGATCTACCTCCTGCCCGACAGAAAGCGCAAGTTCCAGACACGAGTCCACAGGAAGACTCTGAATCCCACCTTCGATGAGTCCTTCCACTTCCCTGTGCCCCATGAGGAGCTGGCAAGCAGGAAGCTCCACCTGAGTGTCTTTGACTTTGACAGGTTCTCCAGACACGACATGATAGGAGAAGTTATCTTGGAGAACCTGTTTGAGGCCTCAGACCTTTCCCGGGAGACTTCCATCTGGAAGGACATTCAGTACGCGACGACAGTGAGTATCTGCTTTGGAGGGTCATCCCTGCCCTGGGAGCGTTTGCAGCGTGGTGCCGTGGCGTGGCGCGTGGTACCTGCGTGTGTGGAGGACAGGTACTGAGTGTGTGGTGAGCGGCTCCAGGGCAGGACGGGCTGGGCTTCTCTTTTTGGCTGGACTGCCTAAAGGGGTAAGTCGTGCACAACTGCCAGCTGATGGGTTTATTGCCTCCCTGCAGATGGTACCGCTAGCCCTGGGGACCTATGGCCATTGCACGCAGGGGTGGCGAAGGCTGTTGTACTCAGAAGCCTGTCAGCTTTACCAGAACCCCAGTTTACTGGAATTTCATCCCCTTTCCTAGTGACTTGCTGTTATCTCACCCACAGTGAGTCTCACTGATGCCAGGTTTGCTGAAAAACAACTGAGAGGTTCAGTGTGAATCATAGAATCAGAATCATAGAATCAT